TACTTCTCAGGTAGGTCGTGCCGTCACTAATTGGAAAAAAATCCTGGCTCACTACTATTGCATGGTCTTTGAACTTCTTTCCGCACAAAAAATGTTTTGTCATAACTTGAAATTTTGTTCGGGTACATACAGTGAAAAAATGTGTAGTTATAAGATGGGTACTTGTGGTTGTCTGGAATTATTAGGAAATTCTGATGAATACAATTTATTAGTCCCCGTCTGGAAACGGGGACTTATAATTTGGTCTCCGTCCGTGCGTCTGTGCGTACGTTGAAGTCGTATTTCAGAATCCTTCAGAGCGATTTTGTTCATTCTTTGCATGTGTCTAGTACTTTATGTGGGACATGTGCACATGCATTGGTTTAGCGATTCGATTCAAAATGGCCGACTGGCAGCCATCTTGTTTTTTGAAAATGTTGTATTTTGGACATTCTTTGTCAGTTTTCATTCAAACTTGGTACATAGATTATACATGTAAGAATACATGTCCATGACAATTTCTTTTGCAATTGGATCAAAGATGGCCGACTGGCAGGCATCTTGTTTCACAGATCACCAATGTTTGACACCCCCCTCCCATGGGGAGGCATGACAAACGTTAAATTGTATACAACGCATTATTTTGAACTGATATTTATCAAAACTGCAAATTTGCCTTCCATATATTATTCAACACAAGAGGGCGCTTGACTTGTACAAAGGATCTATTAGCCACTTTAGTCCAGAACTAACAATACAATTGCAAAGAGTTGCAATTGCTGTATTCCATATTCCAGAATCTCAAATTCATTACACATATGTTAACATTGTAAGCCCCATGTAAAGATTTATTGTAGGGCACCATGGCAACAAGCGTTCATATTCATGAGATGTATGGTAATGTAATTTTAGTGTCTCATTCCCATCCTCAGACTTGCATTTTCTCAAACATAGTTTAAACAATTTTAGCAAGTGCAATAACATAGACATGCACCTCAATTTGTTTTACTTTCACTTGTGATCTATGTTTTTCTTTGCTATGTCTTAAACCGGACAATGTGTTTATCTTCAAAACGCCGTTGGGGCATTGTTTTTGGTTCAACAGTGTTACAACAATCGTACAGACAACTTGCCGGGGTGTTAATTTGTGTATAGACTTGAAGTGAAATTTGAGCTGCTGCCCTGCAAAATTGACAACTGGTAGACAGTTTTCAAGACGGCACTTTCTTCATAGTAAACAGATGTACCCATAAACCAATTTTGACAGGAAACAGAAGCATGGTTTAAAAGCTAATTTTTTTTAAATCACTTTTGACCAAAAAAACATATGTTTGTGCATATTCCAAACTACAATGTACAGTGTCCATAAAAAAAATACTAACAACATTTTAAAATTCATACAATAAGCTTTCCGAAAATATATAGTTTTGTGGAGGTCATCTTGGTTTCCTAATTAACTAATTAAAATACCTGTCAGGTAAACTGCATCTCTACCTTAATTTAAATGTGCATTGTATAAATTTAATCAGATTAAAAGCTGAAGTAGGTATAGGGTTCAATTTTGTTTAGCTCTGCGGTAGACTTTGTTTTGGAGTTTATCTTGTGAGTAATTGTCTGCTGGTGTTCAAGTTAGTCATTCACATCAATATTTTATATTTTCGACTTCTTCTTAAAAACCACAAGCCGAATTGCTTTTATACTTGGTTTATATTACCTTGGGTAGAACTCTCTTAGATTTGTTCATTTCATGATGATTTCATTTCTCTAATTTTGATGAATATTTTTGTCATTTTTGGTAAAAAGTGATATTTTTGACTACTTGTTAAAAACTATTAATCTGATTGATTTAAAATTATACATTAAGATACTACTGGTGGTCCTATCTCAGATTGTGATGATTTCTTTAATTATTTAATTGAAATGAGCATTGAAAATAGCAGAGCTGTCTCAGTTGAGAAACTGCTTATATTTTTATATATCGTATATCAATGGCCATAACTACGATATCCTTTATAAAAATTTATAAATAGTTTAGATAAAAAACATTCAAGCTTTCATGAAACAAAATGTAACAGAAATATTATGCTCAAAAGTTTTGATTTTACTAAAAAATGCACACATTTTATTGTTATTATATTTTGGCACGATACAATATATATAAAAAATGAATAATAGAAAATTAAAACACAAAAACAGTCATAAGTAATAAAAATATTAAACAAATAAAATATGGAAATTAAAACATTTATTCAAGTTTTTAACTGTGGAAGATGCTATGGGGGCGTAAAGAGGTGTTCCCAATAGGAAACTGAGGTGCACATTTTGTGGAGAAAAATTTTGACGCCCAGGAAAAGAAATTTCAAATTGGTAAGACACTAGACAATTCATATAATCAACTATTAAAATTATCGACTAGAAACATGTTTTATTTGATACTATTTCTACCCCGCTAGTAATTTATGACAGCGACCTCTATGTCAAAGTGTGGCGTTTTATTTGGCACAAAGAGGGCGCACTTTTTAAGATGGCCGCCCCCATGTGAAAACTGCACCGTACACGTGCATTTAAATTTTTTCAATATTGCGACTAAAACGTTCGTACTGATCGTGTATCCAGGTTTATTTTGTTTGATAGGTTATATTGAATAGCCACGACTCATTGCTATGGCTCGGCAAAGAAGAAAAAAGGTTGGTGTATGAATTATAATGTCACATCTGATTCCATGCCGTCATGGCCGGGATTCACTCTGTGGTTGTCGATGTACATATAAAAAGCGTTATTGAAGCAAATTACTGGCCATAATGCCTTCTTTTGGTGGATCCAATTTCATATTTATATGCATTAGCAATGTATGGTGTATAATAAATGCTAGTAGATTGAAGGTTTTAGTGGAGTATGGTGAGTGGAACGCAAAATATATTCGAGAGCGTTCATCAATGAACTGTTTTTTGATTAGTTCGCAACATAGCCAAACATTGTTAACGTTCGAGTGAATCCGCCACATGTAAGGGTAATCGCAATGTCGTTCAATCAGAAATCATGCTTTTTGACTGTAACTTTAATGAGCAAGATACGTTGTTACTGCAACAAATATGATTGACCAAGACACAAACTGATATATCATGTGAATCTCTGCTGATTGAGTCAGGAAATTAAACTACGAGTACGATTGCTGCAGTTTATGCAGCTCTCTTGGTCGTGGTATACCTTGCGGGCGACCAGAGAGCTGCAGTTCCCTTCCCTAAAGAAATGCACAGATTTTTAAATATGCCAGTTATGTATCATTAAAATTGTGATTGTAATAAAATTACCTCGACTTGCAGGAAAAAATAGACAAATATGTTCTCACAAATATATATGTTACTGATTACAGCAAGCTTTAAGCAAATTTGCCCGTGTAAATGAGACTATTTCACGTTAAAACTGTGCCGAAGTGAAACCTCCGATTGAACGCCGCCATTTTGAAGCCGACCTCTATCACGTGACTTGGCTCTTTTAGTGACGAGTGTAATCACGTGACTACAGCAGACGGCCATCGGCGCCTGTCTGGGACAGCGCTTCATGTGACGAAACAACGGCAGACGGCTTTTTATAATTTTAATTTCATTTCACCATTAAGTGACTCATCTTTTTTTGAAAAAATCAAATCAAATAAAGTACATTATTAAAAATATTTTTTTCAAGCAGTTTTATTTATATATTGTGAAAAATCTAAAAATAATCTTGTAACTTGCCAAAGAGTGTTACAAGTGACAGGAGCAGACAGCAGACAGC